ATGCTTTATGCGTTAGAAAACTTCGAAGCCTGTTTTTAAACAATGGTAGTGGTAATTCTTTCCATTGCTTAGGTAATTTATTATAGATTGCCGGAGCCATGCAGTAGACACTCTTCCGCATTAGTGCCGTTTTGGCTGGGTGGGAGCACAGTACATTATTATCTCGTCTGTTACGTGGAACTACATCGGCCAGACGTTTAAAACGATCTGGGTTGGACTTTACAAACACAGCTACCTCCACTATGTACAAACTAGGCAATGTTAATATTTTATGCTCTTTAAAGTATGGCATGCAACTATCAGTAGATTTTAGCTTAAACATCGCCCGTAAACACCTTTTCTGTGCTTTAAACACCGTTTCCCTTTCGGCTGAATTTCCCCAGAATATTATACCATAACGTAAGTGGGATTCTACTTTTTTAACATTCATAAAAATTTTAGTTATATATTCTTTATATCTTGTACATAGGGGCTATTCAAACATTGTGAATCAGGCCCTTGAGCAATTAAGCTATCGCTAATTGCCTTATCAGATTTAGTATCTTAACATTTTCCATTAAAATTCAAAATCTGTTAAAGTATTTTGTCAGCTTCATTTCTCTTCCTCTCAAATAATATCTACTGATTTATTTCGTTGCGAGTTGGTTGTTTATGCCTAAGGGATTTTAGTTTCGGTGTTTTTCTGGCTGTATCTACTATAGATCATGGCTTACAAGAGTTGTAGCGGTTACGGAAGGTTATGGCAATACAAAAAGGCCTGACATGGCGAGGAGTTTAAGAAACTAGATAAGCAGTTACTTCTTTAAAATGAACAGAATATTCCTAAGCAAAGTTTTTATTTATTCATTACTAGCTTTTGCCCTGGACTCTGTTCGGCTGGAATAGTGTACTCCTGCACATTTTTGGTGTAAGACCTATCCTATGCCCTTTCTCAAACTATGTCTGTACCAAATTTCACAGAAAGCGGTTCAGTAGTTTAGGCTTTGAAGAAAAGACAGACAGACAGAGTACCTACTTTCGCATTTATAATATTAGTTTTAAATATTATATTATACTTTGGATGGCTTGGCTTTGGATGGCTTACACATATACAGTAAATTGGAAACAAATAGGTACTTACAGAAACAAAGGTACACAGGTAATGCATAGTATAAGAATTACTTTCTACCTATCCTGTACTTAATTTAATTTAACATTTTAATAATATTAGCTTCTCTTTCAATGTCAGAAGCTTTCATTACTTTGATATTATTATATGTACCTAGTCGACGTCGCCAGACAACCCTTTGAGAGCTCTCTTTAAAGCACTCTTAACTTCTTTTGAACATTATTAAAAAACTAGCTTGTGTGCGCAGTCATGTTCGTTTTCACATTTTGTTAATTATTTCAATCATTATTGTCTTTTTCAATTTTCTACAAGGCTATATATTCGATAAATAAAAAGGTGAGAATTTTATAATTTATCAAATTTATTCAGACACTACTGATATAAGTTAAAGAAAAACACGAGGGGAAAAACTTCTTTTTTGAAGAAGGATAATCATTAATTTATTTCTGGAGTGTCAGATTTTTATTGACTTATAAAACCTGTTCCTTTTCTAGCTTCAGGCCGAGGCAGCGGTTTGCGCTTGCCCTACAACCCCGGCATCGTGAGAAAACCTAGACTTACAATTTCTAATTATAAGTTTGAAATCACCAATAACTAATATATGTATGGTAAAGAAAAACATTGTGAGGAAACCTGGTCATATAATTTCCAATTATAAGTTTGGAATTGACAATCCGCCTTGAGAGAAAAGGCCTTTGCCCAGTAGTGGGTACTAATAGCCTGATGATGTATATGATGTGATTTGATTTCACAAACACATAGGTAAATAAGTCGGTACGAACGCTTAATCAATATATGTATTTGTAATATCAATTGTGTATTATATTGTTTGGTCAGAAGCGAAGAAGGAGCGGGATGGTTATTAATCAGTAAAAGTCGAGAATGCCTCTTGCCCCACGGTTTCCTACTCATGATTTTTCTTCCACAAAAATAGTTTGGAAAATAGTTTGCTTTTTATAGAGGACAAAATCATCCTGTGGATCATCCTGCCTTTGATCTCCATCTAGAACAGAAGTAATTGGCTATAAAGAGACCGCCGGGTACCTCATAGTATTTACTTTTACAGTACATACATAAGACCCTGTTCTAAATGCACTTCTGCCTTTCCCTTTGGGTAATAACAAGCTTAATTTTCTGTTACTCTGATTTCTTATGTAATAAGTATTTCAATTTTCGAACGCAAAATATACAAATCAATTTTCGAACGCAATACATACAAATAGGTACATACAAGTACTTTGCACATTGATCGAAAACGCATATAAAATTCATAACTGGAAGTAACTTTATTTTGCATTCGAAAATGGAACGCAATGGCCTAATTATTTAAACGTGTTATAGTAAAATAAAAGAAAAATCTTTTTTTATCTACGAAATGCAAGCAAATGTGATAATGTCATATACAATTCAGCTACCACCTTTTTACAGTATATATTGTGCCTCATGTAATAAGGGATGAGTCTTTGCCTAGAAGTTACAAACTCAGTTCTGAACTCCATTGAGAATATTTCAAGGAACTAAAATAATTTAGAAACAGACAAAGCTTGAAATTCTAAGTGAAATTCTACAGACTGCCTTATCGGTTAAATGGTTGCATATCGCATGAGGTCCAGCGACCGTTGAGCAAAGTATTGCCTATTTATTTATTATTATTTTTCTAATATTTTTTATACTTTATTGTGCACCACATAATTATAAAGGATAGCTTCCAAACATTGAGTGTACAATGGGCGGTTAGTTAGTTCTTAAGTATTTAAATGAGGCACGCCGCGTTCCCCGCCCGCCATCAGATCACCATACATGGAAGCCGGGGTTACGGGGTAAGCGCAATGAGGCACCGCGACCCCGGCCCAGAGCAGAAGAAGGAACAGGGGGATTTTAGTCAGTAAGAGACACTCCCTCTCGCCCGGCCACTTGATGATTTTCCTCTTACAAAAAAAAAACTATTCATGGAAAACGTAAGGGCCAATGTCCAGCCGGGGTTGCGAGTGTAATGTATCACGACCCGGCTCTCACCAGAAGATACTATTTATATATCGTGGTTATATGTATATAGAGGAGGTAAATATGGGGTAGTTTTTAGCCAGTAAGAGTCTGATTCTCTTTCTCACTTGAAAATAAACTTGATGATTCCCTGCCTAACTTAAAAAAGAGTATCTCATGTAATACTATCAATATTACATGAGAACCTAGGAATTGTGCTCTGAGACCTTTGTGACTTGCGACCACTGGACCGACGAGGGATGTCTATAGAATGGAAATAAGAATTTTAGACTCTCTCTGTGTCACTTTTTGGACTCAAAACCTGTAGGCAGCTATACACAAATTACTTAAAAATTACACGCACACAATTCGTGGCCCGGTTTTTAGTCAGTAAGAGTCTGACATTTCCTCTCTCCCCACCTAGGGCAGGAGAAACCATTTGACAATTTATACCCCTAAAAAAACAACTGGTAACAGAACCGAACACGAAATAAGATGAAATTAATAATAAAATACAAGTCTTTCTAAAACATCTCAATGTCAACAAATTCCCTCTAGATATGAATAAGCTCTCCAAATCGAATGATTTAACTAAATAATTTACCTGGCTCTTGGCTCGGATAAATTTCTCGTTTTACTTCGGACATTAATTGAAAGCAATTGGGGTGATATCTAAGTCCCTAAAATTGTTTACATTTAAATAGAGAGCCTAAATAAATTTAAATGGTAAAATAACTACCTTTGGATTATTTTGATATAAGTAATAATTACTCACGGCTTCGCTTGTTTGGTTAATATTAAGAATAAGCGGTTAAATTTGTTTTTTATTTATTTATTTATGCTTCATGCATAGTCGGTACATAGGCGGACTTCGGCGCAATTATTCTCTCACTCATAACGACTGAGGCATTTTCTACCATTCGAGTCTTGGATGATGAAGAAATGAGCGAAAGGTTGGTGCAAGAAGCAAGCAAATTTCAAGACACACATGAAACAGTATGAGATATGAACTGAAATACACTTAAAAACATAAATACTAAAACAATATAATCTAAATTTAACTATTTGACTAAAGAAAGATTTTAAAAGGAAGGGGAATCGACTCAAGGCGCTTAGTTTTACACTAACCGTGGTTTATCGATCTGGTACAGGCAGGATTGACAACCTAGGAACCAATAACAATCAATAATAAAAAACTATCGAATAAATCTTCCCGTTTCCCGGTTTTCCAAAATGTTTCAAATGAAGGAAAAGGTGTAGGTAATTAAATTTTGTAGAGGTTATCAAGTAATTATCTTAAGTACGGAATCAACAAGGCGTTTATAGATAATTAATTAATTAACTTTTGGGTACGGGACAAAGCTCCCCCTATCCCGGATATAACATTTGTCATTAACATTGCTTACATTCACGGACTTTTCCGAACTTTCCATTTACGTAACAATTTTCGGATTTCCACTGGATTTGGGTACATTTCATTTAAAAAAGATAAAGCAATGCTGTAAAAAATATTTTACTTAATTTTTTGTTTAAGTAATAAATTCAATTTCTTACAGAGATTGAAACGAGACTTTATAATCATCGAATGGTATATGTGACTGATTGATTGACTTGATAACTCGGAAAGCATTCAGTTTAGGTACATACATTAATACTATTAATCTTATTTACTTGCCTCGTATCAGGTCTTTAAACATGACTTCAATAGTAAGACAAAAAAAGGTATACGAACGAACAAATCGATCGCTTCGTCCTTAAACAGAGGGCAAACGCAAGACGTCATTAGAAATACCAGATCCACCGGTTCGTTTACGCGTCAGTGCAATCATCACTTTAAAAAAAGAAAACAATGAATATAATTGAGAATTGTTAACATACAATTATGAATAAAATTATCACAGTTTAGTAGTTTTTGTAACTTTAAACAAGACAGTCGTGTTATATCATACAGTCGTCATGTCTTTTAAAGATAAGGTTGCTATAGTAACGGGATCTGGGTCTGGTATGGGTGCAGCAACGGCGCTTCTCTTTGCTGAAGAAGGAGCTCACATTGTGATAGTGGACTTCAACGAAGAAAGAGCCAAAAATACTGCAAAAAGTTGTAAGAAACTTGGAAACAAAGTACTTGTCATCATCGCTGACGTCTCCAAAAAAGAAGATGATGAGAAAATAATTAATGATACGGTTGAAGCCTTTGGAAGAATTGATATTTTAGTAAACAACGCTGGGACTGTGAAGGTAGGAAAAATCCTGGATGGAACCCTTATAGACACGTTCGATGAAGTTGTAAATACTAATCTGAGAGCTGTGGTTGTGTTGACCAGTCTAGCTGCACCTCATTTGGCAAAAACCAAAGGTTGTGTGATAAATACGTCAAGTATATTCAGTACTGCTTTCAGATATGGAAGTATTTTCCCATCATACTGTGTCTCTAAAGCAGGAGTTGATGCTTTTACTCGTGTCGCTGCCTTGGAACTTGCTTCATCAGGAGTGAGAGTCAATGCTGTTAATCCTGGACCAGTCTACACAAATCTTCTCATCCACAATGGACTCCCTGGCACTTGGGAAGAATATTCACAATTTACTGCTTTAAAAAAAGGTTCGGACCCTAAAGAGGTTGGTAATCTTATTTTGTATTTGGCCAGTGATAAAGCTAAGAGTATTACTGGTGTTTGTTATGAAATTGATAATGGAATGAACCTTGTGTAGCTTGTTTAAGGTTGTCTATTGTTTATATGTGTTTTTTATTATTCTTTTTAAATATGTGATTAATGTTTTCTTTAATGTGATAAAATTCTTATTGAAAAAATATACAATACATATTTCTTGATCTTGGACTATGTAAGGCTTAGTAGCACCTAATTAAGATTATTAATCTTTAATTTTATGTTTATAATACTTTATATTATTAATGTTTCCGTTTTTTGTAATCATCTGAACTTAGTTAATAAAGTACTTTTACCAAAAAATCACATTAGTTTTATTTCAATGGCTAAAAATCCGATCTGGCAAACTCTTCAATACAAGCTTGAACTGGAATAAAAATCCTTGGAGACCAGTTGCTGACCAGACGGACTTATCACCATTTAAATGAAGACGTTGAAGCAATTATTCCAAGTACACGTAATTACATTAAAATTACTTATGTAGAAATATAGATAAATAAATTTTAAATCAGTTATACTGTTTCACAGTTAAACAAAGTACAGCTTAATTAAAAGTACTTATTAATTATTTACCCAAGAGTAATCCGAGGGCACTCAGTGACGTAAATTGTTTAAGTGGTCTTAATGACGTTAATTACTTATTGTCAACGCCAACTTTTAAAATATATGCTGTTTATTTCAATTTAGACTTTATTGCCTTAGAATAGAGCTGTAGTACTTAATAATCATAATTAAAGTAATCGCATTGAAACTTTATTTTTTATTATTCGATTTTAAATTATTGGCTTAAATAAATGCTTACTGAGAACGGTTCTATAACATTATTTTTTAATATTAAGTAAATTATGGCATATTTTCTTTTTTCTCAAACTTATATATTGATATTGTAATGCGCATTGGTTATAAGAACTAAGTAATTAATTATCAATTCCATTTTAAGTTATGTTAGGAGTCTAGAAAATGTTAAATAGTAAGTAGGATTATTTAAGGGTTGATTTTTTCAATTTTCAATATTCTGATAAATGTTATCTGAAGAAGAAAATGGTTGCTGTCACTGTCTTATACAAACATTCTGACGCGACAGCATCATAATTATTCCCCAAATAACTTTTATCTAACCATTGAAAAATCAGCCCTAAATAGAATAAAATATCAAAGAATTTATTGTAAAATATTAATACTTAAATTAATTCTTACTTTTTAGAATCTCTAATTCTATATAATCCAACACGCATTAAAATTAATACCTACCTAATAACAAATAACAAATTGTATTGTAAACAAATCAGCCACATAAAAACGGTCGAATGCGTACCATTCAATTCAAATTTCGAATTCTGGAACCGCAATTTGATATCGGCACGTTCTTGTTATGGCGAATTTACCACAATTGATGCGTTCACTTACCGTAAATCCGATACCGACGGTCGCTGAGAAATTGCCGGCTTGAAATTTTCCAGTCTCGAACTGCACCAACAAAGAGGTTTTACCCACTCCACTGTCACCCAGCAGGATCGTCTGTGAATTGAGAGCGAGTGATAATTGTTTTGAAGTCGAGTTCGGATAATTGGTGGGAGATGCATCTCGGTTGGACGCTGAGAGGGTTTTAATGGAAATTGACGGTAGGCTCCCCGTGTCTGTATTAAACGCAGCTATATTTGATGTTCGTTGCAAATTCTTTGTCCAATAAGGTTGGAGAGAGGAAAGCCGTATGTTGTACAACAATAAAATGTTACACGTGCACCAAGGAGGTTTTAGAATAGTCATTTTTTTAGAATGTTCTTTTTTTAAATTAACTTTCCCAGTCACATTGAAATAAAACAAAATCGATGTGCACCCATGGTAAGGTCTCACAAAAAATCTAGTGTTTTGTACCATAATAATTTCAGAAGTCGTATAATAACAATGTTAAAATACAAAAGTCAATAATAACAATTCCATACCAAGAATACGGCTTCAGGTTTCGCAGTTTTCCATTGTTAAGAGGAAAAATAAAAGCTTTAGTGAAGTCAATAATTCCACAGATAATATAAAAACACGTTTCAAAATACACAATAACATGCTTTTCAATAACTTCCACGTAACAAACATCAAAAGCTTATAAACTCATATTTTCCTTCGCTCACTTTTTTTTATGAAAATAAACGGAAAGCGGGAAATGTTACATTATTTTCTCTGTAGATATATAGTATTTGTTTTTTCTGAGAAGTATGCAGAAGTGTGTAAAACTACTTTATATGGGCACTAAGACGATAGGTCTTAGGATTTGTCTTAAGTAATCCTAAAAATTCAGCTTACAAGTATACTTATATAGCGTTGGACGCATGGTCAATTAGAAACATTGTTATCACATGTCTTTAATTTTCCTCATAACATACTTCCAGACACAAAACATAAATATTATTATTATAAAACTTTCCGTTGGAACTTAATAAATGATAAACAAACAAACACGAAAAATAATGTCGGAGAGCTAACCTTAAAGCTTATAAACCTATAAGTGGGAGATGACTAATTTTAAGCACAAATGATTCGATCCGACTGGAGTGATGCCACGGCCTCACAAAAACCCGGCGTGAAACAACTGTCTACCTAGTGGGCGGCGCCATTTGCTTACCATCTGGTAATTTGACTCCTTGCATCCTCCATATCATATAACAAAATGGAATTCAGAATCTTGAATGGGTAAATAAAATATGAAGAAAACTCAATTGCTAATTTAATAAATGCATGTTAATATTTTATTTTAATCCTTCTTTAAAATGACCAAGTGGCCTGGTATTAAGGCACCCGTTTCTCATCATGAGCGTACTGGTTTGAAACCTGGCAATTGTCAAGTTATATGTACACGATGGAGGGAAATATCGTCAGGAAATCTGGACATATAATTTTTAATTATAAGATTGAAATTGTCAATCCGCATTGAGAAAGCGTGGTCATTAATGCTTAAAACTTGTCCGTGTCGACGACGAGTCCCTTGGTCAGCAGTTGGCAATTATAGGCTAAGAAACACTCACATCATAATGACGTAAATTTAACTTAATCTTAATCATAATCCCAAAACATTATTAATATCCGGAAAAGATTGTGCCTAGCAATTAAACAACTACCTTATTTATACATTTTCCAATATTTTCTTGTTAACAACTTCCCAATAAACTGGCAATATTTCTCAACAACGATTCCCTTTTTTTTGTTTACAAAAAGAACTTAATTAATGGCAACATTTTAATTAACCGAACTCTTGTTAGTTCGAAGTTTGAAAGAAAAATTTTTCAGCGTTAAGAATTTTATTGTTCGAGGTATTAAAAAGAATGTTTTTTTTTTTATTTTCTCTTCAATATTTTTGTATTTAGTAAACGTGGCGTGCAGGGATGGTAAGTTGGGTTTTTTATTACTAATTAGTAAGAATATAAGCAATATACCTTGGCCTTCCACGAAGGGGTGGGTAGAATATCTCTACTATACATATATAGATAGCGTACAATTTTCGCCAGTTAAGTTAGAAACAAGTGTTATTATTATGCTAGTAATTAGTCTTTATTATTTTATTTTTTGTTTTATGCTCACTTTATATCAGTATCTCAGCCAGGGTTAAAACTTTTAACTCAGCGATGTGATCTATAAAATGTCTTTTGAATTAAAAAAACATTTTTTTATTTAACTAGCAACCAAATATTTAAGTAAGGTAACACACATAATAGCACATTCCATTTATCAATTTATTTAGAAAACCAAAAACACTGCCCCACTCAAACTTTCTCATGTAGGGGTGCGTTTACAAAACATAAACCCGCAACAACAATTTGTGGATCAAACAAAGTTTTGCCAAGCGGAAACACGGGACACGTTGAGAAAGTCATCAAATGACTTCTCCCGCCCAGGATAGGCTAGAGAGAATGTCAGACTCTTACTGACTAAAAACCCCCCCGTTTCTTCTCCTGCTCTGGGCCGAGACCGCGGTGACTCATTGCGCTTAACCACCATCAACACCAACATCAGCCCTATAGGGCCCCGTCTGTGGTGGTCTATTGGCTATTTGAGGCGCACGCGGAACGCTCGGGTCTGGTTCTGGTCGGGCGGCGAGCTACCCTTACTCGACGTCCGCAGACCGGCGGTACGGTAGCCGGAGATCAGCCGCTTGGCTAGTTGCCGCAGCAACTGCGTAGTCAAGTTGTTATATTAGTAACAATTTCTCAGTACCTAATTGTTTTATTGGTACGAAATCAGGGTAGCGACGAGTGGGTTTCCGTCGTTTTAGATTAGAACTAATTTTGTCCACTCTATATATTTATATATGGCAATTTGAATACATATGTATGATATATAAGATAATGAAGAATCGATCATATGCAAAACCAAATCCAATCCCGTCCTAGTTGGTTTAGTACCACAGATTGATAAAGGACCAAAGGACCCTCAAAGCATAGACAAGGTTATCAAAGCTCTTTGCTACCGTTCACTGTGTAACTTAATAACTGACCGGACGTATAGGTACACAGCAGCATGTAAAAGTATACTAAAATATCAAAACTCGTCAATGGAATTTCAGCTATATGACAAGACTATTGAGGTTCTAGATGGAGTTTGCCTGGTTAGGGTAGGTTGATGTGCTCGTTGTGTGCTAGCGTTTGTAGTTTGGTATCTAGCTATGAAAGGTTTCGCTCAACAAAGCAGATTATAATTCATAAAGGGTTTTATTTATAGCACGAACACTATTTTTGCCTTTGTGCTTTTTTAGAACATAGGTAGGTTTTAAAACGCTTCAAACTATAAACGGGTAAAAGCCCTGGTTTGCGTTAGGAATAGATTTTTTGTCCTCGTTTGGAAAACAACGGTTTTCTTTTTACGGTTCAAAATAGTTTTTTTAGTAAGTGAGTACGTTTTATTTGCTAAAGATATTGAGAATACCCATACAATGAGGCTGGGGTTAGTATATAGCATATTATGATGGGGTTATAAACAAACCAATAAAAAAAATATCAAAATCTACATATTCTTAGAATTTGTACGAGACTGTGGCGCTTCTCATGCATGAGGGTGTGGGTTCGAAACCTGGTCAGTACCAATGTGACTTTTTTCGAGTTATATGTACCTACTTTCAATGATTATTTAGACACCACTGACATACGTGAAGTTAAGCATCGTAAGGAAACTTGGACTTATAATTTCTAATTATAAGTTTAAAATCGCCAACCCGCAATGAGCAAGCGTGGTGATCAATGTTCTAACCTTCTCCGTGAGAGAAGAGTCCTTTGCTTAGCAGTGGGCACTTATAGGCTGATGATGATGATGATGATGATGATGATAAACATATAATGTTGAACATATACTATGTCTTTGTCTCTTTCAATCCTCACCGGGCCTATTGTCTGCTAATCTCGTTAGCTCAGCATACAAATTAATTGAAGTATACAGCAAGCGACGTAACAAGTCTATTGTTTTGAGATTTTTTTATTAATTAACTTAATGTTATTCATAGCTACTTATAAACTTACTTGTTGTGCTCTGCGATTTAATCTATACTAATATTATTAAGAGGTAAAATTTGTAAGTTTGTATGTTTGTAAGTTTGTATGTAGGGGGTAATCTTTGGAATCGCTGGTCGGATTGGCAAAATTTTTTCACTGATAACAATCATTATAGGTGATGTTTTATAGTCTATGCTTTTTCTTTTTATGTTTTCTTCGATAAACGGACAGTCCAACACAAAAAGAATTGTTCAATTCGAATCAGTAAGTCCAAAGATAAGTGCGTTAAAACAAACAAACTCTTTAGCTATGTATATTATATACTAGCTACTCTCGCGCGGTTTCACCCGCTGCTCAGCTCCATTTGATCGCAGCGTGATGTTTTATAGCCTACCTATAGAACTCAGGAACATTGTAGGTATCTTTCAAATTTTACCTCTTTATAATATTAGTATAGATATACTACAACATATCCTAGACATAAGTATAGAAAAAAGATGGACATTGTTCGTTGATTCTCCCTTACCATGCCCTGATAAATCATAGAGGTTCATTACATTTATTACATTCAGTGTATACCTATATACTGTAGGATCAGTGACTTAAAACAGGTAGATGACCTAAACAAACAGAACGGCATTATCCCGATGACGTTACTGACGATGACACTTCGTCATTACCAGGTCATTGCACTGCACTTATTGGAATCACTATCGTACCTAAGTGCTAATTTATTTATTTGCAAACTATTCTTTGTGATGGGTATTGTCTCTATGTCAATGTTACTGGAAGGAAAGATTTCTGGAAGATAAAAATACAATAGGACGGGATTATGTAACACCCATGTACTTAAACTTTGTATAAGTATGTATGTGTTTTCCTGTATATTGTTTGTATTCATAAATTAATAGAAATCATCAAATCGGCTGTGTATACATAGTTTTAGAGTGCCTATTTAATCGCTGGAACGATTATCGATTTTATCCAATTATTATCTGAATGATTTGTAAAATGTTGTTCCGGATATATGTTTGCTAGTTTTGTCTGTGTGTATAATTTTTTGGACTCACGACAACTTAAACAACTATAATAAGGTCAACTTTTATCCCTAAGCCGCAGAAGGCCCGACAGCGCATTTGGAATAATTGGTGCTACTAGAAGCACGAATGGGTCGGCTAGACTGGAGTGGAATGACGGCCTCACAGAAAACCGGCGTGAAACAACGACAGCGTTGTGTTTCGCCGTGTGAGTGAGGTTACCGGAGGCCCAATGCTTCCTCTCTCCCAATTCCTAATCCCCAAATGATCGTGAGCTTATAGGCGGTGCCGATTACTTGTGGTTATTTACGCTGTGGTTGTTTCACGCCGGTTTTCTGTGATGCCTTCATTACACTCCGGTCTACCCGACCCATTCGTGCCGAAGCATGGCTCTTCCACACGTATAAAGCAGTAAAAGGTAGTAAGTAGTGAAAGTAACTGAAATTATAATGTCAATAAAACAAAATCATACCTTGTGTATAATCACATCATCATCATCTTGTGTTCGGGAAGGTGTGACAGCAGGAGGATGATAGTCCCTGTATCCAGTGGGGGAGGGTGTGCTTCGTTGTGCTGATTGCGCGGGCGCACGCAGAGTGTCGTCTTCAAACACGTCGTCGCTCATACTGTCGTCTGTCGCCATTTGCTATAACAAAACAAAATGGCGGACTGATAAACAAGTTGATGGGTAAATAAACATATTTAGGTCCTGTTAAGGCGTATAGCGTTCCACGGGTGCCTCATAGAGTCAACGGACCACCACAAATGGCCATCAGTGCTGATGTTCAGCAGGGGTTGCGGATCAAGCACAGTAACTTAAGACGGCTGCGCGGGGTATTGTGTTATTAATTAATTTATGACTATGATTACACATTTCGAGATGAAAAAGTACAGCTAGCAATCCCCATGGTGGCTTTTAATTCTGAATAGAACGAGTGAAAAATTTTTATTCTTCTGTTAAAACTTTTGACGAACGAAATGTGAAATTATTATGTTACTTACATAATATGATACAGGGATAAAGTCCTATTCCGTGAAAACACATCCAATTTTATAAAGTAGTTACTCCTCAAACATCCCAAAGTAAGTAACGTCTTATTTAAATGTAGATAAAATTCATTTTAAGATGCACTCTTTGAGCTTTTTCCTGCGAAGCGATGTGTACAATGTCTTTAGAAAACTTAATGCTAAAGTAATAGTGTGTGCGTCGAGTTAGGTACTGTCGAGTTTTTACTCAAAGCTTTAACTTTTAATGAACGTAATGTAAAAAAGATTCATTTGTTTTCTTAGTTTTTAAATAAAAACATAGCCCACACTAGGTTTTTCTTATGTGTCCTTTATTGATATTTTTCATTATTGTTAAAAATGAAAAAAGAACGCATAAACCTTTGAATTACTACTAGACTCTTGTAAATATGAAATCAGTGTTTTTTATTATTAAAAAGTCATCAAATCATCGTTTTCATTTCACCTGGCCAAACTATATCTTAATCTTATTACTTTAATCAAGCTATTATGAGTATATTGTATATGTCAACGGTTAACGTAGGTATATGTATTTACATGATCTCGGAAACAGCTTCATCGAATCCGATGAAATTATCAATGTCAGTGATTTCGGAGGCTCTAATCAATTTAGCTAGGCTTGATTTTCACAAAAAATACCGAGGTAATCTTTGTCATCCGGTAGGGATGTTCATATTAAATGTTATAATCACTTTTCATCCTTTTTATACGCAAATGTCGGTCAAAACAAAGTAACAAAGTACATAATAGTAACAATAGTTAAGTGCGGGCGAGTCAAGTTTCGGCACGAATGTGTCGGCTCGACCGGAGTGATACCATCACAGAAAACTGGCGTGAAACAACCACAGCGTTGTGTTTCGCCGTGTGACGTAGGGTTACCGGAGACTGGTGCGAGTGTCCATAGGCGGCGCTGATAGTTTACCATCAGGTTCATAGGTACTAACCATAAAAAACATGATCTTTTAAAAAAAATATAAAATTTTGTTCGAAGCAAACTCATTACAATATTTATGAGAACAGTTGCATTTCCCCTCACAAAATTTGAAAACATCAAAAGAACATAAATGATTGATGTGTAATTAAAAAAATATCACTCTGTTTGAAGAGGAAAAAGGGAAACGTGTCGGCCATTTCCAATTTCAGTATAAAATAAATATACCAACGCCGAATATAAAACGTAGCTAAATTGCATTTCTTTTTTTATTTAACCTTGATTGGTATTTCAAAAATATACAAAGAAAATAAAGTTAAAAATATATGGCATTTGTCTTTATTGATACATAAATCCATACTCATTTTTGTATCGGTTTGGAAAATCCTTATCGAGACTCATCGCCCTCGGGGAAGGGTGAAGGGTACTGCCAGACTCTTACTGACTAAAAACCAAGTCGGAGGGACGGGTATCGCCGAAGCACTCGTCGGAACCTCCCGACCTACCTATTATTACTACGTTTTACTCGTTTCATACATTCAGTTACTTTGAGTTAAAGCATACTCCAGTATAATAGGGATGTTTAAGGTTCTTTTAAATGTTCGTCTTTTAGATTAATTTAAAACAATAGAAATGTATGTTGATGGTGGCCCGGAGGTTAAGGCGCACGTTTCTGGTGCACAAAGATGCAGGTTCGAAACGCAATTACCAATGTTACTATTTTGGAGTTATATGTAGTACTTTCTATGATTATTTAGACCACTACTTACATACGGTGAAGGAAAAATCGCGAGGAAACATGGACTTTATAGTGCAACCAATCCGCCTTGAGCAGGCGTGTGATTAATGCCCGAACATATCCGTATGAGAAAAGGCCTTGCTCAGCAGTGGGTTCAGAACCGTACAGAGATGTGAATAGACATGTATTTTCTCTCTCTTCATGGATCCAAATACTTTCGACCTTATATTGAATCCAAATATTGCGTGGCGTTATACGATTAGAACATTTTTACGATAAGCGGTGACGTAGCAACCAACGAATTCTAAATTTAAATTCGTTCGCGACTAATATTTTTTCACTATCCAACTGACTAAACAATTCGATTTTGAAATGTCATAATATTATTATTATCATTCCTATATTTAACAAAAACGGACTTGATAACTTATGATGATAGATTATTCCACACATTACTTTCTAAGGGGCGTGCCACGATCTGCCATCAGCTAGTACCTACTTATATGAGTGTACAGGCGGAGCACGCTTTAAGAATCTCGAATTTGAGGCGCGTATCAAGCATGATCAGGACCCTCGACATTGTAACAACTCAGTTTCAGGCTTGGTGCAGCTGGACCTTCTGATGGCAAGCAATCGGCTGCAACACCAGAAAAGTCATGTGTGTAGCCTGACTTTTAGAGAGTACGGGTATGAGAATTGGGAATAAATAGTCCGAGGCTTGGATCTCCGGTAACTCCTCACGCGGCGTAACACAACCTAATTGTGGTTTTATGCTGGTTTTTTGTGACTTCTGTGAGGCCATGGTATCACTTCGGTTGACGTGGCCTATTAGTGCCAAAGCATAACTCTTCATCACTTATTTATTAACCGAGTCCAAAAAAGAGAAACCTAAAGGAGGTTATTATTTTGGGTGGGTATTATTCGTTATTTAAGCAATTAATTAGCTAGATACCAACTGGTACAAGTGAAGGAAAAAGATTTCTTGAAATACACTTTGAAATGAAACATCTCGAAGAGTTAAGTAACCAGAATCGTCTGACGTTAGATAAAACTCAAGAGTTCTCAGAAAACGATTCACGAAGTTTTCAAATGAAAATTGTATTTACTGTAATGCTTATTTTCCTTTAATTTACATTTAAATTGCTGAGAAATTGTAAGTTTTAATTAAATTAAAATATACATTTCTACTTCCATTTTATTACATTATTTTAGTAAGTAGATATTTAATTGGATGACGATGGATTGGATGGATACGGATGATTTGACGCTGAGCGCAGTGCAGGCTGCTACATAATGAACCGCCCTGTTTTTTATTGTATAGACGATTATCTATGAGGGAACAACAGACAACCAGACCCAAACGTACGGCCCGTAGTGCGCTCTCTAAGGCCCTACAAGGCCGATGTTCAGCTAGGATTGCGGGGCAAGCGCAATAAGGTACCGCGGCCACGGCCTGGAGCAAAAAAAGGAAGGGTTTTAGTCAGTAAGAGTCTGACACTCTCTCTCGTCTCACCCTGAGCGAGTGAAGTTATTTAATGATTTTCCACTCAGAAAAAACATCAGAAAAGTGTGCCTATAATGGCCTGTTTGAACTAAATTTCTTGACTTTGACTTTGACTCACAAATTGACACTTACCAATGCACAGACACGACACGGAAATATCTAATCCTGTAGGTTGGTTTTTATGAAACCGAAAAAAACAATAAAAGTATTTTAGGGTCTGCATGCATATATGAGTTGTCGGTGATGATCAATTCTCAGTAGAAACATAATCTATAATTGATAACACAAACTTCGCTCTTTGTAAAGAAATGAAACTACCTCTTAATAAAAAAAAACCACTCAAAGTTTCAGAGATGAATCGATAGGTGTCATGTATGTATTATAACGTACAAGATCTATATCTCTTATAAACAAATTAATCAGTTGCTCAAAGACGTATACCTAATTGAATTACTCTCGTCTCCAACTTGGTAATATCCTTACATGACGAAGAACCTACAAAGCGCAGAGTATCAGCTTATAACTGAATCTCTGAGTTTCAAAAGCGTGTCTGTTCCCTGTGAGTAACCATGTTGCTAATACGTGTAAATTTTTTGATATATCAACAGGTAGGTAGTTATGTACTTACAGCCTGAAGTAGAAAGTTATACGGGGTGGTTTATACCAAAGAATCTGAAACACCCTTTCGCCTGATCCAGAGTGGAAAAGTCATTTGGTAATATTGTCCCCTTTCCATAAAAATCGGCGCCCGTCTCACATGTTTAAGAGCGCGTATTCGAAACCTGGCGAGTACCAATGTGGCTTTCTGTGCTATAGTTGTTTAGATGCCACTGATAAATGGTAAACCACAATATCGAGAGGAAACATGGACTCTAAACGGTTAATTGTATTTTGTAAAAAACGTGGCTAGAAAAGACGTGGCGATTAATACATGTTTTCTTCGTGTTACAGTGGTCTTTGCTCAGAAGTAAGCACTTATAATAAGTTTAGTGCTTATTTATTTGTCTACTTATCCAATTAAGTCCTCCACGGCCACCTTAAACCACTGCAAGTCGTTTCAATTATTATCAAATTAATACATATTAGAGAAAAAAATTTTGAAAACATTCATTGAACGTAGGTATTTGACAACAATTTATTTTATGGAATAGGATTCAAACGAGCCGACGGATTAACTGATTGTAAGTAATCGGCGCCGCCCATGGACCCCTGCAACCATAGAGGATATAACCACTATCGTCATTGCCAACAACACCAGAGGAGTCACACGAGCGTTGTAGGCCTTAAGTCACATCAGAGTTCATTTCATTCGTGTTATAATGTCAATTTTATATAACCCTCTGTAGATTTACATTGGAACAGTTATTTATATTAGTGCTCTACCTGGCAACTCAATATTGATCAATTACTGAAGCCGTTGTTTACCTCAGCGCAGCGAGTAGTTCC